TTCTCCTTTGGTTCCTGTTTTATTTTATTTTTTTTGGGGGGGAGGAAGACTAGCCCTGAGCTAACATCTGCCAATCCTCCTCTTTTTGCTGGGGAAGACTGGCCCTGAGCTAACATCTGTGCCCATCTTTGTCTACTTTATACGTGGGACGCCTGCCACAGCATGGCTTGCCGAGCAGTGCCATGTCCGCACCCGGGATCCGAACCAGCGAACGCCAGGCTGCTGACGCGGAACATGCGAACTTAACCACTGCGCCAATGTTCCTGTTTTAAATGCTGCATCCTTTTCCTTTAAACACTCCACTCTTTACCTTCCTCCTTTCTGTACCCTCATGTTGTACGTGTGTCTCTTGTAAGCAACATAGAATTGGGTTTTGCTTTTTGGTCTAGTCCGCCCATCTTTGTCTTTAATTAGTGCATTTGGTCTATTTACATTTAATGTAATTATGGACCTATTTGGACTTAAGTCTGCCTTCTCCTGTGTTTTCTCTCCATCCCACCTGCTCCATGCTCTTTTTCTCTCCGCTTTCCTGCCTTCTTTAGGATTGGGTACATGTGTTTTGGTAAGATTAGCCTCATTTTACAGATGGGGAGACTGAGGCACAGAGCAGGCAATTACCTTGTTCAAGGCCACAGCGATGAAGGACAATATGGGCCAGGTCACTTCCATCATTGAGCTTCTCTTCCAGCCATGGAGCTGGATATTGCACAATGATGCAGATAAGTATCAGCTTAGGATTGTTATGCAGGAAATAAAACTGAAAAAAGTGGCAAAAAACTGAAAAGAAAGGCTTCGAGAAAGGTGCCCAGGTTTAGGCCTCTCCCAGACCAACGTCCCCATCACTGACCCAGCTGAGCATTCCCATCACTTCCAACCCCCTCCCTTTGACACACAAAGGAGGGAAATATTTTCTTGTCTCCACTCCACTGTGCACAAAACATTTGAGGCCAGCCAAGTCCCTTTTGGCCTGATGTGCAACCCCCACCCCTTCCAGGACCCTTGTAAATGTTTCCTGGCTTCCAACAGAGCCCAAGGGACTCATTAACAAACTCGATTTCTCCAGCCTGGATGTCTTCTGCTGCAGCCGGCAGACAAAGCTGTAGTTCCGTTCTCCCAGCAGCCTCTGCCCCGGCTCCTCTCTCGGCCCTGGCTGCTGCATGGCTCACTGAGCTCCACAATTTTTACAAGGACCAACTCCATGCTATGTGTTTTCCCACCATCCTGCCTTTGCTCCTGCGATTCCCTTAGCCCTGAATCATTGTCAGCACCTAGAAAACTCCTAATCCTACCCCAAAACCCCAACCAGATGTACTTGATTCCTTAACCCCAAAATGAGTCCTCATACCCCACTCTTCAGGTTCCTCCAGTCTTGAGTGTCTCTTCCATCTAGCCCAGCACTGTTTCCCTCAGGGCTGGGAGTGTCTGCGTCAGACTATGCCTCCCTTCATCCTCCAGGGGTGGGTGTGAACTGAGTATTCTCTGGAGCCCCAGAATATGGGCCATGCCTAGAAAGGGTGGCTACAGGGTTAATTGAATAATTTTTTTTTTTCCTGAGGAAGAGTCACCCTGAGCTAACATCTGTGCCAATCTTCCTCTGTTTTGTACATGGGTCACTGCCACAGCACGGCCACCAAAAAGTGGCATAGGTCCATGTCTGGGAAGCAAACCCAGGCTGTCAAAGCAGAGCACGAGGAACTTAACCCCTATGCCACGGGGCTGGCCCACTGAATAATTTTCAAAACTGTTTGTTGAACTAAATATATAAAAATCCTGGGGGCCGGCCCGGTGGTGCAGCAGTTAAGTTCGCACATTCCACTTCTCAGCAGCCCGGGGTTGACCAGTTCAGATCCCAGGTGAGGACATGGCACTGCTTGGCAAAAGCCATGCTGTGGTAGGCGGTCCCACATATAAAGTAGAGGAAGATAGTCATGGATGTTAGCTCAGGGCCAGTCTTCCTCAGCGAAAAGAGGAGGATTGGCAGCAGTTAGCTCAGGGCTAATCTTCCTCAAAAAAAAAAAAAAGATTTTAAAAAATACGCATCCTCATGTTAGTATGAACTCATGGTTTTCGGTATATATAAAAGGGGACAGACATAGAAGTAAATATAAATTTGCGTATTTGTGGGTTAGTAGGCATACATATATTTCCTAACTCTGACTGCTGAGAGGGTCTCTGAGCAGTGACAGCCCAGTGGCAGTGAACACACCCAGCACCCAGATCTTGGCTTTTTTTTTTCTTCTTCTTCCCAAAGCCCCCCACTACATAGTTGTATATTCTAGTTGTGAGAGCCTCTGGTTGTGCTATGTGGGACACTGCCTCAGCATGGCCTGACAAGCAGTGCCATGTCTGTGCCCAGGATCCCAACTGGCAAAACCCTGGGCCGTCAAAGTGGAGCACACGAACTCAACCCCTCAGCCACAGGGCCAGCCCCCAGATCTTGGTTTCTAAATCCTATTCTCCAAGAAAAGGAACCAGGCTCTTTGGAGAAATGGCTGACTCCAGGGATTCCAAAGCAAGTATGGAACGTCTTGTGGTGCCAAAAGTAAAGAAGTGCTCAGAGAAAGGTGGAGACATATTAAAACGACATAGGTGGGGCCGGCCTGGTGGCGCAGCAGTTAAGTTCGCACATTCTGCTTCGTTGGCCCAGGGTTCGCCAGTTCAGATCCGGGGTGCCGACATGGCACTGCTTGGCACACAATGGTGCAGTAGGCGTCCCACATATAAAGTGGAGGCAGATGGGCATGGATGTTAGCTCAGGGCCAGTCTTCCTCAGCAAAAAGAGGAGGGTTGGCAGCAGGTGTTAGCCAGGGCTAATCATCCTCAAAAAAAATTAACAATAAATAAATAAATAAATAAATAAATAATAAAATAAGGATATATGAGCTAACTTAAAGGGGCAGCAAGATAAATAATATAGAAATTAATACAACTATGTACTGGGTGGCTTTGGGGAGAAAACGGAAAAAATAAAATCTTTAAAAAAAATGAAAGAAAGAAATTAACTATAATCCGCAGAGTAAAATAAATATTCATGAGTTCATAGTGATATAAATACTCGAATAAATCCATAATTGGAGAATAGACAGCTCTTGTTTACAGAATTCCAATTAATAATTAAATTAATAAAATCACCATTATGCAAACACCATAGTAATCACAGCCGCTAGCAAGAGCCATAGATGGATGCTAAAACCAGTGGGTGAAAAGTATGTTTAAAAAAACAACAAAAAACTAGGGTATCTATATGGTCTTTTAAATATCTCCCGGTAAGATACATATTAATTGTAAAGGGGGAAACAGTGACAGTTGAGAAACTGGCAGACACTGCCTTAAGCACGTAATCAAAGTCAACACCACCAATAATAAGACACACCAACACCCCTGCCTCTTGATATGATGCATTGAGGACACAACATCACTTCTGTGGGATTCCGGCCCAAACTGCTCAACTTCGGTCTAAGCATGAAGAAACACTGGATAAACCCATAGAGATGGGTATTCTACAAAACCAGTACACTTCAAAAGTATTAAGGTCATGAAAAATTAGGAAAGACTGAAGAACTGTCACAGAGTGGAAGAGACTAAGGGAGACGTGACTAGATGCAATGTGGGATCCTGGACTAGAAAAAGGTGACCAAAAGGGGAGCGTGGATTTTTGAGCCCGACTGAGTCTGATTCCCAGCCTGTAAAGCAGGACACCTGGATCCGGGCCCCCCGCAGACCACTCGAGCACTATTTGACCTCGGGGCGGGGGGTGCCTGCCGCCGTCGGCTGTCAGTTTAACTACCTACTAAAAGGGACGTGTTGCAGCCTCCTCTACCCACTTCCGGGCTGCCTTGGAATTCGGGCTTTGGGAACTACGCAGGCGCGAGAAGGACTCCTTGACTGGCTATGCGTTGTGACGACACGCGAACAGGAGCGGCGTTAAGCCTCACCCCTTCCTGCCGCGTCCCCGCGCACGCAAGTCCGCCCCGGGCACGTCGCCGCCACCCGCGCTCGCACGTATGGTGCGTGGTGACGTCGCGGCGGCGCGGGCGCCATCCCGGAAGCGCGAGCAAGGCCGCCAGATGTGCAGGTGCCGCTGCCACCGACGCCGGGGCCGAGTTCTGGGTGGGGCTGGGGCCGCCGGGGCCGCTGGGGAGCCGGGCAGGGTCGGGCGCGGCCCCGGGCTGTCGCGGGGTGGGGCGCGCCGCTGGCCACGTCTAGGCACCTCTCCTGCGCACAGGCCTCAGTTTCCCCGTCTGCTCAGTGGACGCGTTGGCGGCGCCGCGGTCTGGATCCGGATCCGGGGCGCGGGAGTTGGGGCCGCCTGTGTTTAGGCCGTGCTGTGTCACCCGGAACTGGGCGTTGCCCTGCTTGGGCCTCAGTTTCCCCGCTTTGCAGGGGCGGGGCGTGAGGGGATATGCAAGCCCTTCCCCACTCGAGTTTTGCTGAGTGTGGACCGCCAAACTAAATTCTGTTAAATGACTTGGGTGGAATCGCGGCGCCTCTCTGCGTCGCCGTGTGACCTTGGGTAACTGAGCCCACCTCTGTGAACCTTAGTTGCCCTCGGAGACGATAGTTGTCTGCCTCATAGGGATAGTTGGGGATTAAATGAAGTGCTATACACGTGTTCGCGCATGTTCTTGGAAGCACCGGCAAGCCCTCGTTAAAATGCTGATTCCCGGGTCGCGCCCTGGCATTTCTTTACACTCCCTTTGAAGAAACAGTCTGATCCGAGCCCAGCGCCTTATCACTGTTGGTTTCATTCCCCACAGATAGCACTGCGAGATGCTGATTCTTTGTTATTCTCATTTTCTGGATGAGAAAACTGACTTAAAGAGGTGAGGTGACTCTCCCAAGGTCACACAGCCTCCCTCTCTGTGTGTTTCCCCCATGAATATATTTGGAGCAGGAACCAGAGCTCTTGCTGGGCATTTCTGCCCTGTCTGTGGGCCGGACTAGCTGTTAGTCAGGGAAGGCTTCCTGAGAGAGACAGCTGGGGTGGGGAGGAGTGTGCCTCGAATCCCTCAGCCCTCAGATCTGGGAGCCAGAGACAGGAAAGAGCCCTCCTTTGAAGCAGAATGGTTTCCTGTAGGTCCAAATCCTGTGCCTGCCAGGCTCTGGCTGTGGACTTCCCGCCACATGACTCTGCCCTTTGAGTGCAAGTGTCCTCTTCATACATGATCACGCTTCTTTGGAAATGTGGAGTGTCTGGGTGTCCGGACCTGGCACACAGTGGGAGCTCAATAAACATGGTGATTATTGGGTGGGGAGAATTTCACCAGGGGTGGCAGCTTATTTCCAGAAGGCATGTAGAGGCTACAAACTGCTAGCTAGATTCAGGGCTCAAATAGATACTCGGCCCCGTGGTGTTTGGGGGAAAAAAAGTATTAGTTGCTGACATTTGTAAATGAGGCGATTTCACAGAGAAAAAAAACCCTGTATTTCCATTTTTTCCCTGGAAAAAATCAAGTCTGGCAGGAATCAGCTGCTGTAAGCAGCAGCTGTCTCCTCCTGGGTGGCTACTGAACACCTGGTCGGATTCACACCTTTGTGGACCCTGCAGAGCGTGGGCATGTGAGTTGTGACTCAGGTTCCCTGGCCGTGTGTTCGTGACCTAGTTCCTCAGCCCGAGCCTCAGTTTTCTCAGGTATAAATAAGGATGATAACAGTTCCCAGTGTGTGATGTTAGTGCCTTGTTTAGCATATAGTAGATCAAGTGAGCTCTGAAAGACCCTCCTGATCCTGTGTGTAAATTTTAACCAATCACAAGCAGGTCTTTCTGTCAGCCATTAAATGTGTGGACCCCAGAATCAAGCTATGTCAGAATTCTGGGTTTTTCCTGACCCTCCCCCCTGCCCCTGCACCTCAGGAGGGTCAGTGCTGAAGCTGTGGCCCCTCCTGCCCTGGCATGGTCATCTGCCTGCCAGGGGAGCTGGGAACAGCAGAGCCGTCTGGGTTGCTGGGCCCACAGCCTGGCTGCGAGTGCGTGAAACTGTTGGCTTTAATGTGCTAGTACAAGTCTAGCGGCAGGGCTGAGTTTGAAAGGTTGTGTTGGCCTCCGCCAAACTAAGTTCTGGAGATCCCTTGCTATGAGCCGGGTTCTGGGCTGCATTCTGGAGCAGAGCAGCGAGCGAGAGAGACAAGCCTCTGCTCTCTGGGAGCTGACTGCTGTGGGGATGACAGGCAAACAGATCAGCTGACGACCGAGATAATTTCAGGAAAAGACACGCCAGTGAAGCAGTTAGAACAAGGTGGAGCAATAAGAGTGGCCAGAGTCGGGGGAGTCAGCGAAGACCTCTTGGGAGAGAAGACATTGGAGGTGGTGGTGATTTGATGGGACGGCTGGTGCAAAGGCCTTGTGGTGGGAGTGGGCCAAGGGTGGGGATGTGGGAGGAGGCTGGCAGATCTGTGCAGGCCGAAGTTGCCCCTGACCTTGGGCACACGGAGGTGGGAAGCTGATGGGATTCTCATGTTACAAACATGGTCTCCTGTAGTTCTCAGAACACCCCCGAATTCCCAGGTGACAAAGCTGAGGCTCGGGTGGCACGACCCACTCATGTTCAGGCAGCCTTTGTGGTTGCCGGCGCCTCCTCTCTGTCCCACCCCCCGTGGTGACTGGTGCAGACTGAAGACTTCTTGCCTGTTTCAGGCAGCGGAGGAGGAGGAAGAGATGGACCCCCCGGACTCGGCCTCGAGGGTCTTCTGCAGCCGCATCCTGAGCATGGTGAATGCGGACGACGTCAATGCCATCATCCTGGCCCAGAAGAACATGTGAGTGGTGGGCAAGGGCCGTGGGTCCCCGGCATGGGAAGGGAAGGAATCCATTTGTTGGCCAGTGTTCTTGCCCTGCCCGGCCCTACCTTAGGCCCACACTGGTGCTAAAATGAAGGAAATTAGCAAATCTGCGACTGGCTCCAAAATAAGTCTTTTCCTGGCCTGGAGGCAAGGCCTTGGCACAGGAAGCAGGGCTTTCAGACGGGTTTGCAGCTGCAGACGGTTTGGCGGGGGCCGCAGCAACTCCTGTCCCAAGGCCTGGGGAGGGGAGAATTGGGGGCATAGGAGAGGCTGCTGGGGGATGTGAGGGAGCCAGTGTGCTGACTTCCTGTTGGGAGCCTGGTCTCTCGCTGTCCAGGCTGTTTCTGCAGAGGGCCTGGGTCTCTTGGAGGGGCTGTGAGTGCCCTTTGTCCTCCATGGGGCCTGGCCCTGTGGCCTTTACAGCCTCACCCTAATTCCAGCTGGCCCTGTGAGGGAGCGCAGCTGACACGGCCTTGGGGTGGAAGCGCAGCCTCCTGGGGCTTTATTTTCGTGTCTTTATTCTAAGCTGTAAGACTCTTCCTTCTATTTACGGGACAGCACAGACCTGATACCCTTACATCTCCCTCGCTCTGTGATGAGTGCTAGGTATGTCTGAGTCTCAGCAGTGCCCATCTCTCTTAGTTCTTTAGGTCTGATTCAGACCTGGCCTAGGGAACTCCCAGACTGAGGGGGCACAAAACCAGACACAGACCTTTGTGGCTTCATGGTATCAGGGCTGTTCCAGAGGAACAACCTGGAACTAGGGGAGTCAGGGGAATCAAACAGCCTGCTTGGGGGAGAAGGTGAAGGCTACATGAGGAGGGCACACTTGAGTAGGGTTTTGAAGGTTGAAGAGGAGTTTGCTAGGTGGCTCAAACAGCAGGTAGAGCTCTGTAGGACAAGGGAATGGCACATACAAAGGTCATGGTGCAGGAAAGGACTTAGCATGATCATTTGGCAGGGCCCCGTCATTAGCAGGGCCCTGGAGATGGTGCAGAGGAGTTGGTGCCCTCTCTCTGCCACCAGGCTGGACCGCTTTGAGAAGACCAACGAGATGCTGCTGAACTTCAACAACCTGTCAAGCGCCCGCCTGCAGCAGATGACTGAGCGCTTCCTGCACCACACGAGGACGCTGGTGGAGATGAAGCGGGACCTGGACAGCATCTTCCGCAGGATCAGGTGGGTGCTCAGGCCCTCCCTCCTGACCCGAGCCTCCATTGAGTTCCTCCTATCTTCAGTGAGGGCAACGGGGAGCTGCAGCTTGTTTATTTTATGAGGCTTCATCGCGCACTTAGCATCCAGGAAGATCTGAATTTTGGGATAAAAATCTTAATGTTTCTGAATTTAAATTTTATTTCTTTTCAAACAATGCAACACAGCACCAGATGCATAAGACAAAAGGCAGGCAAGGACAGACAGGGAAAGGCCAGTTCCAGGCCCCTTGCCCCCCCAGGTCTTCTCGCAAGGAGCAAGTGAGCTTGCCGGGTTGTGTGGGTCCTTCCCGAGCCAGGTCCTGAGGACAGGGAAGATGACGTCCAAGTCCCGGGACACAGAGAACGCCAGATGCAGCGCCTGGAGCGCGCGTCATCCCGGCCACCATGAACAACCGCGGCCAGCGCGCCTGGCCCGGGACAAGCTGGTGCCTCTTCCTCTGGCTTGGGGGCAGTGGCCAAAGATTGAGGGGAACGTGTCTCTTTGAGCAAGTTCTGTGCAGAAATCACAAGACAGGCTGGTTGGATCCTTTATAAAAGCACCCCTTTTCTAGGGCGTCTCAGCCGGCTGGCTGTCCAGGTATGGTGTGGCGGGGGTCGGGGGTGGGGGTAGACAGGAACCCCAAGGGGCGACACCTTCTGTGTGTCTCTCTATCACCCAGGCGGCACCCGGCAGGGAGGGGCTGGCCGGTCACAGGCAAGGATGAGAGCCTGCGCTCCGCAGACCCCTTTGGAATTCTCTGTAAACAGTGCTGCAGCCTTTGAGGAAAAACGCCTCGTTAAAGAAAGGGAAGCGATGCAGCTCTGTGAACTTCAGTTTCATGGGAGCCAGTGTGCGGTGTTGGGGTTTGCATGAGTTGGTACTCCTGGCCCCCACACAGACCCCTCCCCCCACGGATGGAGAGACAGGCCGAGACCTGTCGCCCAGAGGAGCAGCTGCTGGGGGCAGCTTGCTGGAAGGCCGTCCTGGCAGGGGGGAGTTAGACGGAAGGGGAGTGCTGCCAGTGGAAGGCCCAGCCAGAGCGAAGACCAAGCACCCAGGATGGGCGGGAGCTGGGTGACAGCTGGGTGGCTGGTGCCCACCCCCGGGAGTGGGAGGTCCGTCCACAGGGCTGAGCGCCTGGGCCTCCCTCCAGCCCCGAGCAGGGTGCGACAGCAGTGACAGGGAAGTTCCCGCCGCCCCCGGGCCCAGAGCTGACGGCAAGGGTTCTCGGCCGGCACAGGCCCAGCTTGTCTACCAGCCATGTTCAGCTCTGTGTGCCTTCCCTTCCCCTGCAGGACACTGAAAGGGAAGCTGGCCAGGCAGCACCCAGAAGCCTTCAGCCGTAAGTGTCACCCTGCACCCCACATCTGGCCTCTGTGCCCTCAGATGCCAGCCCAGGCCCCAGTAGACAATGGGTCCAGAGAGACCTGACACAGGGGGCAGAGGCGGGAGTGCTGGCTTGGTCATCTTAGCAACCTGTGTAGCAGGTGCTGGGACTAGGGTCCCCTCCCTGGGGCGAGGTTGCACCAGGGAATGTGGACAAAAATAGTGACAATCCTTGCTTTAGTGAGCACAATATACCCCTACAAGCCAGGCTCTTACCCGCAACCACTCACCTGTGAGGTAGGGCTGTGAGTGTCCCCATTTTACACAGGGGGAAACTGAGGCCCAGGGGGGCAGCGACTCATCAGAGGAAGCTCAGCGTCCCCCCATGCTGAGCCTTGGTTGACCCCATCTGCTGAATGGACCAACAGCTCCCCACCCCAGGGCTGCTGACAACCACAGGCACAAAGGTGATGCTGTCGTCAGTCCCACTTTATAGAGCGGGGACCTGAGGCAAGGGCAGGTGAGGGGCCTGGCCCAGGGGACGGAGTCAAGAGGGCAGAGCCAGGCTCAGCTTGCCCCCAGGCCTCCCAGCCTGACCCCAGAGAACCTGAGTCCTTACCTCACCTCACCTTGAAGGGAGGCCTCTCACCTGCCTAAGCCTCAGTTTCCTCCTCTGTAAAATGGCCCAAGTCATGCTCCGTGGGGTGGGGGGAGCTGTCAGGGGTCACTGGCCCAGTTAATCCCTCGTCACGGTGCCCGACACGATGATGACGCCAACTCCTGGGCCTCCTTCCCCTAGACATCCCGGAGGCCTCCCTCCTGGAGGACGAGGATGAGGACCACATCCCGCCCAGCACCACAACCACCATTGCCACCTCGGAACAGAGCACGGGCTCGTGTGACACTAGCCCTGACACCGTCTCGCCCTCCCTCAGCCCCGGCTTCGAGGACCTGTCCCACGTCCGGCCCGGCTCCCCTGCCATCAATGGCCGCAGCCAGACGGACGACGAGGAGATGCTGGGCGAGTAACCCTGCTCCCCAGCGCTCCCAAGGTGTCTGAGGCGGCAGCGCACACCCTGCCTCAAGATTGACAGCTTTGCCGCGCTGTCCATTATCCAGGGCTCCGGGGGACAGGCTCCCTCCCGGGGGTGTGCAAGTCCTCGAAGTCTATGATTCTCACTTGTCCCTCACTGAGAACATCTCTGCAGACCCCTCTGCCGGGCCAGGGGGCAGTGAGCCCAGCTGAAGTCATTGGGCTGGGCGCAAGGGGGCTTTTCCAGAGCCAGGCCTGAGGTCTGCTCTGACCAAAACTCAAGGTTCCCAGAGGCCAGAGCCAGATGGCCCCTGCCCCAGCACCCTGGGCAGGGCCTCCTCAAGGCAGACAAGCACTGTCATGTCTGAGTTCGCCTCAGCCCACCCCACACCCACTAATTCTGGTCTCCCTGCCCCTCTGTCCAATCAAAGTATTGATGAAAGCATCTCAAGGCGGATTCTGAGACAGCTGTGGAAGGCTCAAGACAGAGGCTGGCCGCCTACTCAGCCCCCAGCCAGCCTGATAAGGCCTGTGTTTCTCTGACCAGAGGTGTGCACGCTGAGGGCCCAGCAGGCCTCTCCCAGGGTCTCTGTGGAGCAAGCCAAGCCACCTTGGAAAACAGAATTTAAACGGAATATTTTTGTACCCGATGTTTACAGATGCTGTTGGGAAGTTATCAATAAAAAGACTCCATTACTAAAAAGGGAAAGATGCACCTAGCAGTATATTTCTTCCATTCTTGGGCCTAGCAGCCCAGAAGGGGGACAAATACTGTATGTGGGACAGGATGGGGTGCAGCCAGCCAGGCACAACTAGACTAGGGAGAGATGTGGCTGCTCTTGGTGGGAGTCTCTGGTGGTGGCAGCCATAATAACCCTAGTTCCTGTCACCACCTAGACCCTCGCACGTGCTGTTCCCACTCCTCCCAACACTATTCCCTGACCTCCTTGAATAACTCTTTCTCCAGGTCTCAGTCCCAGGGTAGGCTCCTCACGGAGCTACACTGGTCCCATCCACAGAGTCCCCTCACCTTTGAAGCACTTAGAAATTGTTATTAAAGGCATCTGTCCACACCCGAAAGTGTCTACTTTTGCCTGGTCCATAGGGGGCGCAGGGAAGTGTTTAAGGAAATAAAGAGAGACGCTGCCAAACCCACAGCTACCTTCTCAGTCCTCACCTCTTTGCGGCGCGCGGCACCTTCTAGCCATCCGCGAGTCTTCTCGGTCCTACAGCCTAACAGAGCCTGAGTCCCAGCCCCATTTTCCTGGGTGACTGCACCAGCCCCAAGTGCTGTCTCTGTTCCCGTACCCTCCGCCGTGAAATCCATCTGCACAGCGGTCAGAGAGCTTTCTAATAACCACCTCGGGGCGTTAGGTGCCTCGGGTGGCGCCCAAGGGGTCTCGCACGTCCGGCCCCTGCGCCCCTCCTACCTTCCCTGTCCCGACCCCTGCGTCCCGGACCCGCAGACCCTCCGCTTAGTGCCTCTGCTTTAGCACAAAACAGTCTCCTCTACTCGGCAAGGATTCCCAGAGCGCCCGTGACGCGCCAGCGGACTTCAGCCTGACGGGCAACACCAGGAAAGGTGCGGTACTCTTCTCACGTGACCCGGAGGGCGGGGCTCACCCCGGAAGCAGGTGAGCGATGACCGCCCACAGGCGCGGGGGCTTCGTTCGCCAGCACCCAACATGGCAGAGGGGCGGGGACAGGGGCGGGGACAGGGGCGGGGCCACGAGAGCGGCGCGGATTGTGACGCAGGCGCGCAGCGTGCGCGGTGCGCAGGCGCTCTCGGCGGCGAATCGACGGTTTCCGGTTCCGCCGCCCTCTTTCTCTTCAACGAGGCGGCCGAGCGGGTCGGTGTCGGTGGCTTTGCGGGTTCGCGCCGGGCCAGGGTCGGGCGGGAGGCTGTGGGAAGCCGCGGGGGCCCTGGCTGCGGAAGGGCCAGCTCCGAACCCGTCCGCGCAGACCAGGCTCCGCGGGGCGGCCAGATCGGCTGAACAGGGCGCGTGGGGCCGGGGTTCCGAGCCTGGACCGGGCTCCGGGTGGCGAACCGGCCTTGGGGAGAGGGGCCTGCCCGCCCCGGCAGCCCAGACCTCTCCCACGCGTCCTTGGGGCGGGGATGGGTTCTCCCCGGGACATCTGAGGTGGCGGGGGAGGGGTGTTAAGCGTGTAACTTTTTCTCCACGCTAGACACTGCCCATAACCCTTCAAAAACGTTGACACCCGGAACTGGGTCTTTGCCTGTTACATACAACACATCTGTAAGGAGAGGCTGGTAGTAGCGCCCATCTTCTAGGCTCTGTTTTTCTTTATTTGGAAAATGAAGTGTTATGTGTAAACAAGTACCTGGCACGTGGTCGGCAGATACTATTTATGGGTCGTAGCAAAGGCAGGAAGTGTGGTCTGGCGAGTTCGGGCGTAACCGAGAAGGAAGCCAGAGTGTTGGGAGTCCTAGCTTGGAGTTGGAGAGGAGAGGAACTGCAGGGAGGAAAGTGCGTGTGTTGGGGGGATGGCTGCTAAGATGGGCTTCCCACCCAGGCTGTGGGAAGGGCAGCTTGTGGAGCAGATGGAGCCAGAGGCTGGGGGAGGGAAGGAAGGACAGGACCTCCAGACCACGCTAGGGGAAAATGTGCCTGGCAAGATGGTGCCTTGGCCATGTACTTAGTCCATCTGCAAAGTTGATGAAATCCCTTCTCAGCTGGGCACAAGGAGCTTAACCACAGTCCTTGTTCCCATGAAGCACATTGGTGCCACAGGTCCAGGAATAAGGTGGAGGAAGCGTGGTTGTTGGTTAACAGGACATGTTTGAGCTGCAGGCTTGGAGGGGTGGGAAAAAACCAGCACTGGGGCAGGCCTGCAGTTGGGTCAGTGCGTGCACAGGGCTGCACAGACCTGCAGGGTCACCACTCCCTCCATCTCCATCCCCCCACCCACCCAGCAGACGCAGACATGCAGATCTTTGTGAAGACCCTGACGGGCAAGACCATCACCCTCGAGGTTGAGCCCAGTGACACCATTGAGAATGTTAAAGCTAAAATCCAAGACAAGGAGGGTGAGTTGGGCTGGAGCTGGATCCTCTCTCCAGTGGGAGCCCCTCAGCCCAGGGCAGCTGCTGTCCCGTGGGATGGATATTGGGCTTGGACAGACCTCAGCCTTGCCTGTGATCCTGGAAAGGCAACTTGTGCTTGCTACCTCAATTGCCCTTTTGACAGGTTGTGGGTAATGCTGGGGCAGCCCTGTGGAGGAGGGGGGAGCTGCCTAGTAGTGTGTTTGCCCAGAGCCTCAGGAACTGAACTGCTCGCCCTCTCCCCAGGCATCCCACCTGACCAGCAGCGTCTGATTTTTGCCGGCAAACAGCTGGAGGACGGCCGCACTCTCTCAGACTACAATATCCAGAAAGGTATCTGAGGGGTAGGGTGGTTGGACAGGGCCCTATGAGGCCTAGGAGCTGGGATAGGGGCACTGACAGCCTCATTGGTACCAGGACAGGGGGTGGGGGTGGTTCTTAAGGTGAGGGCCAGATGGGGCTGGGGAGTTCTGCTTCATAAGACACTGTTTTCAGCACTGAAAAGCATCTCATGATGCCTTCCAGATGGCAGTGGGTTCCCATGTTCTTGTTCACATTGTTTTTTTTAACACTTGTGTTTTGTTAAAAATGTGGTAACTACTTTAAAGGAAATCAGTGTCACTTTTTGCAGCAACAAGATTTAACTGTCTTGCCCAGCAAAATAAAAGACCATTCTTGCACCACTTAGAAATTGCTAGAAATTGCCTTGCCTGTCGGGAAACCCAGATGGATGCCACTGTTGGCGTATATTAGCCTCAGACTCCCCAAAGGCTGGTGGGAAATGACAAGATAGTGGCTCTATGGTGGGCTGGGCTGGCGTGTCCATTACATGAACTGCCTAGGGATTCTGACATGTCTCCATCACACTGGAGAAGCTCTCAGGTGACGGGCCCTGCCCTGCACCTGCGAGCCGAGGTGCTGGGCCCGGCTCAGTTACTGTCTCTCTCCGACCTTTGTTTCCTGTAGAGTCCACCCTGCACTTGGTGCTCCGCCTGCGGGGTGGCATCATTGAGCCTTCCCTCCGCCAGCTCGCCCAGAAATACAACTGCGACAAGATGATTTGCCGCAAGTATGCTGCAGGGGCGGGGTGGGGCAGGGCGGGGGCTGGCCCTGGTGGGGAGGGATTGCCCTTACGGGTCCCTCCTGTCCTTGTGCAGGTGTTATGCTCGCCTGCACCCTCGTGCTGTCAACTGCCGCAAGAAGAAGTGCGGCCACACCAACAACCTGCGCCCCAAGAAGAAGGTCAAATAAGGCCCCTCCTCTGGCTCCTCCTTTGCCCGAAGCGTCACCTCCTGCCTGAGCCCCATGGCCCTGGGGCCTCAATAAAGTTTCCCTTTCATTGACTGGAGCAGTAACTGGTGTCCCTGTGGCTGGTCTGTGTAATGGGAGGTGGCTGAGGTGTGGGCATCTCCCTTAGGGACTCTGCATACCTCTTGGGGGTCTGCTGTCATGGGTTCCAGTTGTCACATCTGTCAGTGGGCTGTGGGCCCTGTCCTTCATGTCCGAAGGGGTCTGTCATAACCAGCCCCCTGCCACATAGCCTTGTGAGCCTGCCCCCCTGAGTTCTGTCATCTATAACATGGCAATGAGGAGCCTCAGCCCAGGGACTGGTGCGACCTGGGCAGGCACGTTGATGACTCTCGTTGCTGGGCCCTGGAGGTGTCCAGTTGTGGGCCAGGGGGTGGGCAGAAAGGAGCACCCGGCCTAGTGTAAGACACCTGCTCTTGGTTTGGACTGACCCATAGGGGCCCCTGAGCCCCACCGAAATCCAGTGCTGGCGCTCTGGGCAGGGCAGGCCTTAGTGTGTATGGAACTTGGAGTGATGCTCCTGCACGTCAGCTGAGGCTTATGGTGCCCTGGACTGCCCCTGGCAAGGCCGTGCTTTTGTCTTGAGATGACTGCAGCTTAGTGTGGGTGATGACCCAGGCCTGGACAGTCATGCTGAGAACAGCTGAGATCAGAAGTGCCAGCGAAAGGGTCTGGCACCCCATGCCTCAGTTAACTTGATTTCATCCCTGTCCACTGCCTCCTCAGGCCAGGCCACCACCATCTTTCTGGTCTTCCCCACATCCCCCCTGGAAGAGGAAGCTTCCTGAAGCTCAAGCTAGGTGGTGTGTCTCCAACGGAGAGCTCCGAGGTCTTCTCTGCACTTAATGTGAGGCCCTGCTGGTTTCAGCAGTGCGCTGGGCTCCCACCTCAGGGCCTTTGTGCAGCCCTCCTCTGGCTCCCTCCCGAGGAGCAGTTCGCAGAGAACGTGCTGAGGAATCTACTCAACAAAGCTGGCTGGCTTCCCACGACCTCAGAACCTTCGTTCAAATCCCGCTCTTGTCACAAACTGGTGGCGTTAAATGACATGTCACTTCTGGCTTCGTTCTCTTCATTAGAGTGGGGAAGGGATGTGCGGAGGAGATGACGTCGGGTGTTGCTATAGGTATACAGAAACAAACCTACAGACAAGGACAGTCTTGCTGTATACAGAACGATACGTTCAAAGACAGACAAGACATAAGGCAGATGCTAGAGGGGAACAAGCAGAGGGGTGGGGTGGGTGGAGGGTATCAGACCTGAGAAGGCCCTAGTCTTCCTTCGTTCCCTGTTCTTACCCGGGGTCTCTGAGTCTCCAGGTTTCCGGACAGGTTGGCCACAGGCTGGGGGCCAGAGACCTCCGGGCCTGCAGAGGGCGCCTGGTGCAGTAGAGCAACCTGCTCCCGGGCGGGGCCGGGGCTGCGCAGTCATGATCGCCGCCGAGGCCGCGGCACAGTCCGCTCTGCCTGCTGTGCCCGGTGCTGCGGCGGCCGCCGGAGTCTCAGAGCGCGAGGAGCCGGCGTGGCCGTGGGTGAGCTCGGGCCCGAGGGGGAACAGGCGTGGGCCGGGCGGTGCAGGCCCGGGGGCGCCGGCTTCATGCCCCAGCCATGACTCCTGCCTCGTAGAAAGATGCCCCGATCCGGGCGCTGGTGCAGCGCATCCACCAACTGCAGGCTGAGCGCGCACAGGCCTTCCGCCGGCTGGAGGAGTGAGTGCGGGCGCAGGGATGGGCAGGGGTCGCAGGGTTCAGCCCCCGGCCCACTCCGGGGGTGGGCGTGCCCAGGGGCGGAGCTGGGTCCCCGTGTGGCTGCGTTGTCAGAGGTGAGGTGGGGTTTGCGGGGGGAGCAGATCTTTGCTTTTGCTCGCAGGGACCCAGGGCGCGTCCCCACTTCCCGACGTCCCACTCCGTGTGGCGTCTCTCCCTTCCCCAAGCGCAGAGGTGGGTTTGTCTCGGGTTCCCCTGCGGCAGTCAGAGAACGTCCTCCACACTCTGGGCTCCAGGGACACTTCCCCGGGGAGCTTTCAGGTGGTCGATGCGGGTGCAGGGCCTGGGGGCGTAGCCTCAGGACCCCCACCTGCCGCAGAGGCCACCGTCAGTATCTGCACAGCGGCCCGCCCTACGATTTCCCGCGCTACCGGAGCACCGTGCACGAGGTGACCCAGGCCTTCGCCGCTGCCTCGCGGGAGGTGCTGGCGGTGGAAGCCGAACTGGCCGGGCGCCGAGCGCAGCCACTGCTCGCGGGCCACGTGCGCAGTCTGCAGCAGCTGGAGGAGACGCGCCTGGCCACGGTGAGGCCCCGCCCCCAGCCGCTGTCCCTTCCTCCGTGACTTGTGTCTCCAACTATGGGCCACTGTGCGCCCCTTGGCGGAGGGGCCAGGCTCCAGCCTCCCAATCCCACGCCCCCGGCGCCCCAGACCCCACCTCAATCCTTCACTAAAGTTTCACTTGAGATTCTCCTGTCTCTCCTCTACTGTCCCCGCTACTTTGATCCAGGTTTTGTTTAGTCCCAGGCCCCGCCCCCAGCCTCAACGCTATCCCAGGATGCCCAGACCCAGCCCCTGCAACGCTTCTTCCACCTCTGGCTCTTCCCGAAGCCTGAGGAATGGTCCTCAACCCCCTGCAGATTGAGGGGCGTGGATTTCCAGACCACGTCCCATCTCAAGTAACCCGAGATCCCAGCCTAGGTTCTGGGCCTGTCCTACACAGCCAATCCTGACCGAGATACACTACTATTCCCAGGCCAAGGCCGCGTGAGGCCACGCCCACGGCGCTCTTTGCGCCAGTCTAAGGCCCGCCCACGCTCCCCTCCTCCTCAGAAGCTCCTCTCAATCCCAGCCTCCTTCCGTGCGAAGCCCTTCTAGACTCCCTGCCGTGGCCCCACTCCCCCTGCGCTGCCTTTCTGGGTGCTTCAGTGTCTTCCTGATCTGTGTGGGAGGGCGGCGGTGGTCCTCTACCCGCGGTGACATTTTCCCTGCTGCCCATCCCCCTCAGGTGGCCCTGCTGCAGCTGATGGGGGCGCCAGAGCTGACGGGGCAGGAGGATCCCCTACAGATGCATCAGCTGAAGATGAAGTGAGCGCTGCCTCCCAGGGGCTGGCCATGCTACATTTGCACATGCCCCCTCGGGCACTGTGCCCCCTAACTAGCTGTGGCCCAGGCCTGGCACGGTTAGACCCAGCCGACCCTCTGGACCTGCGCGCAACCCTTACGGAGTGCACGTCAGAGTCCTCACCTGGTGGCTCCTAGGCCTACAGCACAGGCTCCCCCAGTGCACACACCCTGCAATCTCACACCAGACTCGCTGTGTATTTCCAGGACACAGATGCACACCTCACACATGCCAGTCCTGCTCACATGGCTGGACTAGGAGCTTGGACACAGTCTCCCAGGCCCCATGGGGCACACGCTTGCACATTCCTGCCCTCAGCTCCCCAAGCACACACACATGCACACCCACTTGACCTCTGCCATCGTCACGCTGCACACCCTCCTGATGGCACCCACCCACCCAAGATGGCCTTTTCTCTCCACCCACTTTGACCTATGGGACCACCCCTCCTCCTAGGCACCCAAATTGTTCCCCCAGCCACTAGCGCTGCCTGGGGGACTGGCAGTGGGCAGGAGGGCCCGGAGCTTGCCACAGCTCTCTCAGAGCTGCACAGCGCCGGCTAATTCGCCCCATCTGGGTTTTATTTATAGTTCCTATCCGCTCTTGTAGGGTAATTAAAACCATGGAGGCAATCAGTGAGGTTCTTCAAGACCTTAAGTTTGATGCGGAATCTTCGGAGTGACGGTGGCTTCCCAGGGACACACGGAGCATGGGAAATGGGACGGATGGCGCCCAGCCCAGCCCTGACTGCCAGCTGGCTAGGGTTGCACCCTGCTGAGCTGCTGACCTTCCTTGAGTTCACCGTGCCTCCCAGAATAAAGAACCTTTTCTCTAGAGCCGTTCCACTGTCTCTGTCCTGGGGTGCTGGAGGGGGTGTGCCTGGGCAGGGGGCCCCACAGGGACAGGGATGGCAGGTGGACGACTCTACCCTCCTCCTGATCTGTAGAAACTCGGGTGTTTTGAATCACACCATCCAAGGAGTTTAGAACCAGATATTTCAGAGCGTGGAGAGAAAGAGTCTGAAATTCTGGGAGGTAAAGATTGCAATCCCAAAGGATCATTAAGATTCCTCATGCCTCCCCAAAACCCTACTGCTCCCACTCCAGCCCCAAACTCACCTTCACAATCAGGGCACCTAAATAGCTCATTTATTTAAAAAGACTCTGGAGGGGTCCTGGGTAGGGGGAAGTAATAACTCCATTTTACCCCCAGCCCTGGCCAGGGTTCTGGGCAAATCAGCCCACCATCACTAGGGTGCACCCAAGGGTGGCCTCACATGGAGGCCAGAGCTGTCGTGGCCCTCGGAACCAGGGCACCCACCCCAGCTGCTGCTGAGGGTGCTTGGGTGCCCTGAGGTGAGGGTACAGAGGTGACCCCCAGTCTGGGTGCAGCCCCCAGGTCTCCATGAGGCAGGGAGGGTGGCCCCAGCTCCTACAGCTTATCTGGCAGGACCTGCGGGTAGAAGGGAAGCCAGGCTAAGCGGGAAGTCTGGGAGGTGCCAGCACCACAGAGCAGTTGAGGCACTAGTTCAGGTCCTGGCCATGCCACTTTAAGCTGGGTGGCCTTGGGTAGGGTACTGCCCATCCCTGGGCCTTGGTTTCCCCCATCTGAGAAGTAAGAATACCTATCCATCCCAGGGGGTGTCCTGCAGGTAAAGCGCTTGGCACAGGGCCAGCATGCAGTAGGCGCTCATACATGCTAACCGGGGAGAGTATGTCCATTCATCTGAGGATGACATTCCACTTTGGACACTTTCAGGGTGTCAGACGCTCTTACTAGGCTGAAGGCCACAGGGCCAGGCACACAGCAGGTGTCGGGTAAATGTTGATAAATAAGAGATGGAGGAGGGGATTCCATCTCAACAACTCTAAGACTGAGGTCTTGGGGGGGCGGGGCACGGCCTGTGGCCACCTGAAGGGGCCCCGGTCTCCCTCCCTGCCTGCCTGCCCACCTGGGCCCCGTTACCTCTCGCCGCGCCGCGTCTGCCCGTGGGCAGGATCCGCTCGTCCTGTGCTTGGAAGGAAGGAGGCAGTGTCCGGGGGCTGCGGACCTCCCTCCCCTTCCCGTTTTCCTCCCTGCCCCCGCCCCTCCAGCCCTCTCCCGCCGGTCCCTCCTTCCTACCTGGTTGCGGGTCTTGTGCGATTTCTGCATCCACGCTCGCCACTGGTCGTAGAGGCGGAAGCTGAGGTTCGAGCAGTATGCGTGCTTCTTGAGCCAGCCCAGAAACTGCTTGAGCTCGCGCCGCACCGGCCCCGAGCTCGGCTCGCCGCCCCGCGGCTCGCACGCCCCGCCGCCCGGGCCCGGGCGCTCTGATGGGGGGCGGAGCGGCAGCGTCAGTGCGCGCCCGGCAGAGGGCGCGCGCGGGCAGGAGAGGGAGGTTCCCCGGCGTCGGGGGGGGGGGGGGGGGGGGGGGACCGCATTCCCCTCGGGCACCTCCCTCCACGTTTCTCTGGGACGAGGTCCTCTCCACGGCCCAGCATAGCAGCCCAGCTGCGCCCCCGAAGAGATGGAGGGTAGGAGAAGAAAGGGGCTCCTCCTCCACATCTCCTCCAGGAACCCGATTCCTGTGGCCTGAGCCAGGTGTGAGTGGAAGGGAGGGGGGCGAAGGAGAGAGGCCAGGGCTGGAGGGGTGAGACGCAGAGACAGAGCAGGGGTCAGAGAAAGGGAGAGAGACGCTGAGGAGAGAAAGCTGGATAGAGAGAGGCAGAGATTGAGAGATGGGGACAAGAGAGATGCAGGGAGGGTGAAGCGATGGAGGGCAACCAAGGAGATGCAGAGGGACAAGAGATCGAAAAAAAGGGCAAGATGGAGACAGGGCAGGAGCAGGGCAGCCAGAGACCCTGGGGGTGGAGAGACACAAAAACCAAGAAAGGCAGAAAGACAGAAAGACATAGGAAGAGAGTGACAGAGAGACAAAGAGAGGAAAGTGTGAGGAGACACTGAAGGAAGGGGACAGTCCACAGGACAGGCCTGAGAGCACGAGCCGGTGGGATCAGGAGTGGGCCAGGAGGACCAGATGGGAGGCTGGCCTGTGGGTCCAGCCACGGTCCGCAGCCAGCCCCAAGCAGGCCGGCGGATAAGGACATCGGCCTCACTTCATAAATAACACCGGGGACCCGCTGACAGGCCCTGGCACAGCCCCCACCGCCCCTGCCGGCCTCCCCCGGCCTCCTCAGCCTCCCCGATGGACGCAGCCGCCTGCTGGCTCCTGTGCAAGAATCGCAGGTGCTGGGCACGAACAGGGGCCAAAGCTCAGGCCCCTCCCCGGTGCTAGCTCCCGCCTACCCCCAAACCTGGAGGGGCCCGAGCTGGGGGCTCGGGAGCTGGCTAGAGCCCGGCTCTGCCCCTCCCTGGCTCTGGGTCCCTCTCTGGGCCTCGGTTTCCCCGTCATCCCATGAGCGTGGGCCTGGAGTTCCAGTGAACTGAGTTCAGATCCCTGTGTGACCTTGTGGGCTGGCTGAACCTCCTGGGGCCACAGGGTCCTCACCTGAGAAAAGGGGGCCTCCTTTGGGGTGAAACCATGGGGGGAGCAGGGGATGAGAGCCTCAAAACTGCTACCTGCAAACACTTAGGTGGTGCCCACCATGATGGCACTTTCCGTGGGTTCCCTCATCTAACCCTCACAACCGCCTGAGCAGGCATGACTGTCATCCCCATGTTCCAGATGGGGAAGCTGAGGCCAGACATTTCAGGCAACAGATTTCACACCATTTCGCAAGGCAGAGAACAGAGGTCCATGGTCTTAGAGAAACCCCAGACCACAAGGGGAGTCAGACCCAGGCCCCTGATCATCCCCATCTGCCTACCTTGATCAGAAGGGGAAACTGAGGCCCATCAGAGGGAGAGCTGGCAGCCAATTGGCCTCAGAAGTAGGGGTCTCAACCTCACTTGCCCTTAGGGGCTGGGGAGTGGTAGAGGTGGGTGAAACGAGCTAGGTGGGGACGAGGCAACTAGAGTGAGAGCCCTGAATTAAGGCGTGGTCTTTGCTGATGGGGCTGATGCTGGCTATATGCTGTTAGATTTTCTAGACAATTTTTCTAGGGAATCTAGGATATTTGTGTTAAAACGTCCTGTTTTTAAGTGTCTGCAAGTAGATCAAACTTTTTTTTTTCAAATGACAGACCAGAGAAAATAGATCCAGGGGCCATTTTCCGCCCCTGGGGCCACCAATTTGAGCCCTCTGCTCTCTGGGAGGAAACAAGGAAACAGAAGCCCGGGCTGTTTGGGGCTGGTCCCCACACCACCCAGCCCTGTCGGGGTCCTCACCGCTGCGGGGGGTGGAGGCGGCCGTGGGGTGGCTCCACTCGCTCCAGATCCCTGCCTTCTTGGAGCCATAGATGCCGAAGGGGTTACAGCGCACTTGCACGAAGTAGACTGTCCCGGGCTTCAGGCCGGCCAGGCGGCACGAGGTCTGGTTGCTCACGTCGTCCACCACCTGGGCGGCAGGGGCAGAGTCAGAGGTCGGGCGGGGTCGGGGTGGGGGAGGGGGAGGGGGCGGGCACCTTCCAATCCACGCTGTCCTCCACCCGGTAGCGGATCTGGTACTTGGCTTGGAAGAGGAAGTCCTTGAGGGCAGGCGGTGACACCCAGCGCACGCTCAGCTGGTCCTCCAGGCCCCCGACACGGCTCACGTGCACGTCGGGCGGGGGGTCGGTGGTCACTGAGGGGCGGGGCAGGGCTTAGTCAGCGGGCTGTCCTCAGACCTGGTTGGCCCATGTCTGGGTTCAAATCCCAGAGCATGTGGCTTAGGCGGCACCTGCCTCTGTTTGCCCCCTCCCACCTCAGGATGGGTGGATGACATTCGATCATATTCGGGAACCACTCAGCTCCTAGAAGCACTCAGTTAATAAAGGCTGTTATCACCATTATCCTCTGTAATGTCAGAACCTACCCCTCCCTGCAGGGAGCTGTGTGACAGCAGATGCCGCCAGGCCACGGGGCTGTTACTATCATGCCCTGGAGGCGAGGGGGGCGGTCAGGCTGCCAGATGCCCCGGGGAACTCTCCTTGACCCCCTGCGGCCTGCCTCCGGCTCCCTCCTACTTTCCGGAGGTCCTCAATACGGCAGCCTTGCTGGGGGCAGAGGGACGACTGAGGCTTAGAACGTGTCCGCGGCAGCCTTAGGACTTACAGAAACAAGGCAGGCAGCAGGCTGGGGGGTGACGACCAGCCTTCCGGGGATCCTGCTGGGAGCCCTGTGGGCAGCAGGGAGGGTTGGCCTCTCCCCCTGAGGCCTTGGTGAGGGGCCGAAAGGGTTAAGGCACAGGCTTGCTTGGGGCTGAGAAACACCCTAATTAGATTAGGCCCAATTCTGCTCGCAGATCATCCACTTCCTGCCTCCCGCCTGCACCCCCCCAGCTCCAGGCCGCTGCTTCCTGGGGCGCCTCCCGACCTGGGCGCCCCCTCCCAGCTCCCTGGGGCCCCCTCCCGCACACCTGGGCTGCCGAGGGGGAGGCGGCCAGGCCAGGTGTTCTCCGCAGAGTGGGGGTATACTGGCTGCTTCAGGGGGCTGGGGACAAATGGGTGGATGCCTAGCTCCTCCCTGTCCCAGCCAGCAGGGTAGGACCCAGAGCAGCAAGCACAGCTGGGCTGAGAGCAGGCAGGATCCCTGATGAGCCAGGCTGGCCCTCGGGGCGGTCCTCACCCACATCCAGGATGTCCAGTGTGAGCACATCGGAGCGGGCTGAGCCCAGCCGGTTGGTGGCCTCTACCCAGATCTCGTAGGGGGTAAAGAGAGCCAGGTCCTTGGGAATGTGGCAGGAGTGAGGTCCCACCGTGTGGTACTCCTCACATGTGTTGTCCTGCCCGTACCACCTGCAGGGGCGGGAGGGAGGG